TAGTACATTGCTTTATATATATTTCATATATTCTTTTATTTATTATATTAAATGAAAAAGACAAACTATTTGAACCAAACATTTCAAACCAGTTCAATGTGAAAACGTACGTGACAAAAATACCATTTTGAGTTTTTTTTTATAACGAGAAGCTATACAATTTTCACCAATCCATCGGAAAAGAAGTAAAAAAATATAATAAATACAAATAATTAAATTTGAAATCATTTTAATCGAGCAATCTAGAAAAAAAATGAAAAAATTTATACTCGTAAGTAATTTGGAGCAAAATATTTAAATATATATAATTGTTTAAAATTAAATATTAATAAAAGAATTTACGGAAAAAACATTAATCCGAACATTGGTCCGTGCACGGACATTCCAATCCACCGTGCACGGAGGTTTACTAAATGTTTGGCTTTTTTTTTTTTTTTTTTTTTTTTTTTTTTAAACTTACGTTTTTGTATTCATTTTCAAACTCATTACGGGATATCAAACGAAGTCGAAATATTATATTCTTAATATTATATTGAAGTACTCGTGACATAGTATTGCACGTCGTTAACGGTGTATGAAACGGCTAATCGTAGCAAATGTGACAGGACGTCAAAGTACGTATTTTCAAACTATATTTCAAAATTTTCGATAACAAACTAACTCTAAAAATTCATCGACTATTATACGATAGTCGAATCGATAAAAGTTTTACATTCTCTCGAAACTCACATCGAATGATGTAAATTAATATTGAAAATAGTTAAACGGATATTAAACATATGTGTTAAAAAAATGCGTATAAATCGTTTTTCTCTTCAAAAAATCAATTATTTTATTACTATTTATTTTTTTTTGCAACAATTTTCTCAATACAATACATCATTTTGCTCAAGAAAAATGTAATTTTTTTTTCCATATACGAAGTGAATATGTTTTTTACATTTTATTTACAATAGTTTTTTTTTATTAATATAATTTTCAAAATTTAAATATATAAGATATGGTTGATAGTTAATAGCATGAGAATCAGGAGAAAGAACATGGTGTGTTAGATTCAAAGCAAGGGAGAAATATTACAGTGGACAATAGCGTGTGACAAAATTTCTACAGTATTTTTGAATAGCATTTTTCCTGTTGCCAAACCAGTTTCCAAACCAGTTAAGTGTGAAAATGAGTGTGACAAAATTGAACAGTAAACCCTCATTCTCTCTTTTATAGTAGTGTAGATGTAGAAATATAATTGGGCTACCACTGTTTCTCTTTTTGGACATGAGATTTTTAGAAAATTCCATTTGGGTTGTCCCTTGTTCTACGCTGCAAATTATTCACTTTGGAGCAAAGATAACCTGTTGGTGACAATTGTTGAAGTTACTATTTAAGTGCCAACCCAGTCAACCTTCTAACATCCCAATAAAAGAGCACTGAAATGAGACCTCAAGCTTGTTTTTACATGGGTTGTTGTTGAGCACTGAAAACGCACCGCCCAGAAGCATAAATCCCCAACTCAAACACATTTGAGGAAAAATTGTGGAATTATATTATATGCACTCTGGCCATTATTTGCAATTTGGACTCGAAGAATTGGGAAAACATTTTTCAGATTTTTTTGTTGGTTCAAGTGAATTAGGCCTGGGATTTATTTTCCTTGTGTCTTTTTAGTACTTACATGGATTTTTATTGGGCCTTTGCAATTCATTTCCACTTCAAGATTCATAAACGATAAATGGGTCACAAATTTTAATTTTGGGCCTCACAATTTCGAAGCTTTTGAATTCCAATCCATGGACAGTTGCTCCCCTTAACTCCTTTTAGGCCAAGACTGTTATGTTCTTCTTTCAAAGTTAGGAATTCATTCAGAGAGACCATGAGTACATGCTAACACTACAAGACAGGAAATGAAGAAGCGGTATTTTATAAATCTTTGTTCCTTGAGTAAAGGAAGAAGTAGTACCTTGAAGTACTCGTTCATTAAAAAAAAAAGAGAGGAAGAGGCGGTACCTTGTAGTCCTCATTTTTTGAATAAAGGAAGAGGTAGTACCTTGTGGTCCTTATTTCTTGAATAAAGGAAGAGACGGTACCTTAAAGTCCTCGTTCCTTAAAAAAAAGAAAGGGGCGTTACCTTGTAGTCCTTATTTCTTGAATAAAGGAAGAGGCTATATTTTATAAATACTCATTACTTGAATAAAGGAAGATGTAGTACCTTGTGGTCCTCATTCCTTAAAAAAAGGAAGAGGCGGTATCCTCAAGTCCTCATTCCTTGAATAAAGGAAGAAGTTGGAGTCCTTGCTCCTTGAAAAATGGAAGAGGTTAATCGTCAAATGTGTTTGCCCTTGCAAAATGAGCATTTCCTAGCCTTTTTCGCAAGATGTTTATTAATCCCCTCTCACTATCAATGAGCTTGACATAAGACCTCGTCTGTTCGTGGCTCGCTTATAAGACTGCGATAGTTCGAGCCAAGCCACCTGCTTGATATTCATGTCTCGCCCTGCGAAATGCCTCACCATAAAATGTTGCATTATAGCTACACTTATTTTTAGAAAGCTCATTGCGTCTCTACTTCATCTATACCATGGTTACATTTATCTTCAGAGAGCTTATATTATCTCCTGCATGGATAAATTATCCATCATGCAGGAAGCCCTTAATATGGATGAACCATGCACCATGCACCATGCAAGGAGATAAAAAACAAAAAGAGAAACGTTTCATAGATAGATCAAACACCATAAAGGATGTCTTTGCACAGAAGAGTAAACCCTTTGCAAAGAGGTTAAAAATAATAAATAAAAATATATACATATCTAGCGAGCCAAATAACTTCGAAAAATAGGAACCTCAACTCCCTTCATAAAATTCTAGTAAAAATTCAAAGTAAATGGCCTCGGGCTGTAGGAACACCAGTTCCCTTCCTCGAAAATTTAGCAAAATATTGGAAATAAACAGTTTCAACACATAACTTCAGCTCCCTCATCAACACTTCGAAGCCAAAGACTCAATTTACTTCGAGGCTTCAGACAATGTCCACGATAAGTACTTGTGTATTTTTATTAAATAATTTTGCTTTTAAATCCCCATTATGTGAATATCTATGTCTAGATTTGGGGGACTATTGTGATTACTGTTAGCATGCATGTCACATTATCGCTAGCATGCTTGATGACACATAACATTATTTTTACTAGCGTTGGTATTCATATTACATTACATACACTATCATCAGATATATGACTTGCTATGATACATAATAGGCTTCTTACATATTATATCTTGGAAAAATGTGATGTCATTTATGATTACTTGGAGGGGCAAAATGGACCTCGTGCTTAGTTGATATATGAGCAGTAGACATATTGTGTTGTGTTGCAGGATTGGCTTAGTCTACATTACAAAGGAGATGTTGCCAAAATTTCGACATTTTTCGAGGCAATTCTTTTGAAGGAATAAAAGAAAGTAACTCAAGAGGCACTTCTATGAAAATTAGCCCAGGAGACATTAGCCCATAGAGGCACTTTGGAAAATATATGATCTCAAAACACATGTCAATGATTATGAGCCAAAGAGGCTTTTCAATAAAAATATTAGCCTAAAAGGCAATTGAACAAATGAGCTGAACCCCTAAGCGGGCCACCTCCAAAATGAAAAAGCATCCGTCCAGAAGAGGCAACACAAATGAAGAGTACGATCCCGATGAGAACCATTCTCAAAAAGAAAAGAACAAACCAAGCAGAACGAGTGGACGGTACATCCTTTAAACAACAAAAAAAGCAATTGAACTGCCAAAATTTCACAAAATTGCAGGTATAAAGAAAGTCCGATTAGCACATGAATGTACGACTCCGACTTGGAAGAGTATTGTTGCTGGTCGAATATGAAATGCCACGTGGAGGCGCCATAATAATTCACTAATTCAGCTGAGGCTCTCAAGGGGGCCAGCTAAGGTGCCTCCAAAGCTTATCCGAGGTGCCTACAAAGCCAAGCTGAGGCTCTCCAAGAGGTAAGTCATGGTACGTTCAAAGATGGTTGAAGTGCTTGTCGACGTGCCTTTCAAGATGATCGAAGTGCCTTGCCAACATGCCTTCAAGGATGTCCACCGAGGCCCTAAGTGGTCCAATCGAGGCTCTCAAGAGGTCAGTCGAGGTGCCTTCAAAGATGGCGTTGAGATCCTAAGAGGTCTCGCTGAAGTGCTTGTTGAGGTACCCATAACAATGCTTATAATACCACCTCATGTTGGGCTTGGACTTAGGCCCATTAAAGCACTTGGCCCATTTCATTTGTTTATATATATGAGAATTCACTCCACTTCCAAGTAAGATGATGTTCTAAACTTTAACCACATCCCCCATCTCCCAACTATTGCACTACATATATATTTCGTCTCGTCGTTGACTTGATCATTGGAGTGCAAATGGTCGTCGGACATTTTTTTCGATCAGTGACCTTTGCCTCCTAACGGGGTGCTTCATGTGCAGGTGTAGATGGAACGTGGTCGAGCATCTGTTGGAGCCATTTTTGGAAGTCAACTGATATTATTAATGGCCTATAAAAAAAAAGGAAAAAAAAGTCCAAAGCAAAAGAATTTGGGGGTATCATTTCTAATTGGTTTACATTTTAAATTCTAAAAACTATACTTTAATAAAATTTATATATATGAGAATTTATAATTTCATAGAAATATTTTTTTAATTAAAAAAGTGTTGCTCAATTCGGTTTTGTGCGATTTTTGAAAATTGAAGCATAAACCAAATTATTTTAAAATGTTTTGATTTGGTTTGAAAGATGAAAAATCATGTAAATCTAAATCAACGACTTCAATACAATTTGCAATTTCGCGATTTTTCGCGCAACCCACTTATTCTTTCCTATATTTGTTGTAGGGATATGGATTTTCCTACTCGGAATTTCGGACCATACAAGTGGATTACAGTTTTTAATGAGGACATTAATGTCTAATTATTATTATTGTCGGTGATGGTGACTCTGAATTTCCGAAATGAAAAACAATCACTTATGACCAAAAAAGGCAAAAACATCATCATCAAGTACTGATTCCGGTAGTTCATGAAATCACTATTAATAGTAATCGAAACACATACTTCCATCCCAGAATCGAACACAGAGAATCAAGAAAGCTTAAACGAAATGGGATCTCTTTCTCTTCCATCCCCAGGAGAACAAGAAGAAAAATCAACAATAGATCAAACCAAATTGTTTAATCTGTTCAAAGCCCAACAAAATTACCTTAACCATTTCTTTCAAAACCTTGATATCTTCCAAACTTTAACTTTTACGCAAACCCTTTTGAATTGCAGGGGCACCATTCTTTTCACTGGTGTCGGAAAATCAGGCTTCGTGGCTCAGAAAATCTCCCAGACCTTAATTTCTCTTGGTATTAAATCTGGGTTTTTATCCCCTGTCGATGCGCTCCATGGAGACATTGGCATTTTGGCCTCTGATGATTTACTGGTTCTCTTCAGCAAGAGTGGGAATTCCGAGGAATTGTTGAGGCTTGTGCCGTGTGCGAAGGCGAAGGGGGCGTATTTGATTTCTGTGACGTCGGTAAAGCCTAATGGGTTGATGGGATTGTGTGATCTGAGCGTGCATTTGCCTCTGGAGAGAGAATTGTGCCCGTTTGATTTGGCTCCGGTCACCTCAACTACGATCCAGATGGTTTTTGGAGATACTGTCGCAATTGCGCTCATGGGGGCGCGGAATTTGAGCAAAAAGGAGTACGCCGTGAATCATCCAGCAGGGAGAATAGGGAAGAGCTTGATTTTCAAGGTGAATTTTTGGGCTCTTTGTTTAAAATAATGTTATTTATTGTTTATAACTATGATTTGGAGTGAATTTATTATTGTGAACTTAAGAGGAAGATGGATGTGCAAATCAAGTTGAACTGTAAATGCAAATCAAGTTGTAAGTTGGAGATGTGCTTGTTGAAGTAGATGCACAATAAAGGGGAATCTTTAAGTTTTATGTGGGAGTGTAATTATTGAAGTATGATGTATCATAAAATTGAATCTTGTACAATTTTGAGTTATTACCTGATCTGGCTTGGGTGGATTTGAAGCAAAATGGTAATGATAGTGAGAGATAATTGTGCAAATAAGATTCGGTTCTTGAAGGTTGATACACAAGAACAAAAACTAACGTCGGTTATAATTGTAGCTGGACCTTGATTTTTGAATTTAGAATGAAGGATTATGTTCTTGCATTGTCGTTTCCACTTGAAAGATTCTATTTTTATTGAAATTTAATGTGTTTTATATAGATGTAGGAATATTCTTTCTTGGTGAAACATATTTTTATAACAGAAGTTGGACCGTGACTCATGAAGAACGAAATATGTTCTTGTATTGTCATTTTCCCATTATCTGATGGGACGAAATTCTATTACAGATTGAGGTATTTTCATTCTTGATGAAACATTACGTGTTATTTCGTGCATTGTTTTAGTCCTAATTTTTGCACTTGAAATTCCATATCCGTTTGTGCTTACGTATGAAGTGATTTTGTGCGACATTTGTCTAGACCGATCTCTCTGCCCTGCAGGTGAAGGATCTTATGAAGAAGAAAGAAAAACTTCCAGTTTGCAGGGAAGGAGATCTAATCATGGATCAGCTGGTAGAGCTAACTAGTAAAGGTTGTGGATGCCTTCTTGTTATAGATGATGACCATCATCTGCTAGGTACATTTACAGATGGTGATTTGCGGCGTACGCTGAAAGCTAGTGGTGAAAGGATCTTCAAGCTCTCAGTGGGAGAAATGTGTAACAGGTAAACTACTATTCCTCTGCAGTTTACAATCTCTTAAATCCATTAATTGTTTTGACATGACTTTGAGTTCAAAAGTTATGGGATTGATTATGTGGATTCTGAGAATTGTAAAAGAACCTTGTTTGGGGGATTATGTTACTTCTACGTGGAAGCTTTGGTTCTTTAGCAGGTCGATAGAGATTTGATGATCTTATGTTTCTCACAGTAAACATCCCATATTATCAATTTCTGGTTTTACAAAATTTAGTAATCCAACCATCAGAAGGATCTGCATTAACATGACTCGTATGGTCTTTCAGGAACCCGAGAACTATTGGTTCTGACGCAATGGCAGTCGATGCTATGCAGAAGATGGAGTCTCCGCCTTCTCCTGTACAGTTCTTACCTGTGGTCAGTGATGACAACGTTTTGATTGGTATCGTTACATTGCATGACTTGGTATCGGCTGGCTTGTGATTTTTGCATGTGTGATGTTCTATTTGTACTTGTATCTCAATAATTGTTTTTATTCTTTCCAAGACTACGTTGTGATTTGTAATAGATCTCATTAGACGATTATGTATTTGTTGAAGAATATGAATGTATAGCCATGATCTTTTCAAAGGCTCTCATTTCTTCCTTTAGATAGAGGTGTCAAAAGGGTCGGGGTGGATTGTCCTGTTAAAAGCTCAGACTTGTCTTGGCTCAATCTAGCTTGATTGAATCTATCCTACTGACAAGGTCAAATATCGCTTATTAGTTCGAATTATTCGAAGTAGCTTGAAAAAAGTTATGAACATTTTTATTTTCTTAACAAAACTTATGGAAGATTTAAGACAGAGTTATCCATAATAATATTTTTGTTTATAGAACTTTGAATATAATGTGAAAATCATACTTTAATTTTCGATTTCAAAAATTACTTTCCGGTCACTTGACAACTATATCACAATCTCGTATCAATTTTGTTTATAAGGTATAACTAAAATTCATATACTAATTTATTTCAGTCTCACACTGATTTCAGTGCTTCTCTCTTGCCTTCTCATATTGATTTTACTGTAAATAAATTCATATACTAATTTGTTTTAGCTATATTTCAAAGTATATATGCGTCACAGGAGAGCAAAAGCCCAATTACATAAATCTGAGAGATGTCTTGATAGAATAATCTTTATAGTTACACATTATGGCCTTCCATAGTGAAGAACCTGGGGATTTTTAAAGCTCAAAGGGTAGTTCAACGTCTACTGAAGGGTGTGATATTCTCGAACTTGGACTTAGTCGGCTGCAGAGCTTTGATCTACAATGTTAAAGGTTTTCTGATGTCTATTTGTTCTCTTTGTATCTCTTTTCATTTTAATTGTTATCTGTTAACACAATATTTGTATTTCAGGGTAGCGGGATGCTTGCATTTGAGAAATTTTTTGCACTGGTATGAAATTTTCCAATTCCAAATTTTTGTGTTAATTTACTGACTCTTACGCAGTTTCCAAGCTGCTGCAGATGGAAGGGAGGTTACCTGGAAAGACGTTCTTGGAAGCTGTCAAATATCAGATGAAAAGAGAAGTTGTCAGGAAGGTCTGTCGGCTAAAAAAGCATTTCCTAGTTATGTTTGTTAGCTTAAGGGATTGAACGTGAAAAACTTCCTTAATATGATTTTGCAATTAGAATTCATATTCTACCTTCGGTTTTCAGGGTGGACAGCTGGCAGCTATCGGCTTAGAATCCCAAGCAGCCTTGATTGCTGCAAAACAGGTGTTGTTTTGGGTTATTGGTATGCTTTTTTGAAGTTGATGATTTTAATAATGATGTTGAATTCATTAGTTAGTTCCTCAATGATCCCCCCACCCCTCCTCTCTCCCTCTCATTCACGCTCAAATATTTATTGTGTTATCCACTCTTAATGCTAAAAACCTAACAGAAAACTAGGGTCACCTTCTCAAATTAAAATCCAACATGTAACATAAAAATAATACAGCTGTACTCAAAGGTTATTAGTTTCGATAGATTCTGAATCTTTGCAACATTATTAGTAGCAATTAATGATACTTGAGCAATTTTGCCCACAATAAAGGAGTCTTTCAGATAACATCTACAGAAACAACATAGCTAGGCTTATTCATAAGAAACTTTGAGATCTGATCTGATGCGTATTCACTATGTAATGCAAAACAATAGTTTTTCTTCCTCCTTATTAAACTGTAACGAGATTTAATTTGGTGGCATGTTTTGTTGGGTGGAAAGTGACTTTTGATTACTAGTTACTTTGATATAATGCCCTTTAAGCAGCTGCATATTTCTAGAATCTGGATGTTCTTATACATAACTTTTTCCTACCGACAACACTTGACAGGATCTAAAAGTTGCTTACTCGATACCTGGGGCTTAGAAGCATGGTGCAATTACTTCGCCCAATGTATGCTCTCCTTTGCTATGAAGTTCCTTTATGGTTCCTATGGTTGCATTTGTTGTATAATAATTCTGTTCTCTTATTTAAATTCTTTGTCTCTTGCATTCATCTTTCAATACTTCCCCACTTTTTCCTTGGTTCCATGACTCCAAGGATCTGGCTTTAAAAGTATAGTAGTTTTCAGGTGTTGAGAATTGAACTGTCATTCAGGAGTTAACAGTCGAACTTCATCTCTGAAAGATGTAGGAAAGCATCAAGAAATTATTATTTATCAATTTTTTACCAAAGAAGAAGCAGATATATGAAAGTTCTGGTGGTGAGGGATTTTTCGATTAGGATTCACGTTATTCTAAACATTAATGGAGCATAAAACATGCTATAATATTAGTATTTTACTCTTTGTTGGAAAACAAAGACACGCTTCCTAATTGCTGGTGCATCTAGCAAATTGCAATTATTTTTGTGGGGGGAACAATAACTAATGCAGTTGTGGTTATGGAGTATATATACATGTATATTTATTATGCTTATTTATTCCGCCCCTAAGTAATTCATTCTTACCCATGCTTCTGCCTCCAGTCTAAGCATTACCTGGTTCTCACGTCTTCAGTTAGGATCGACTTTTGTGATTCATGACCAATGAAATCCGGAATATCTCGTGCGGGATGTGAGGAATCCTTCTGGCAGATGTTGTGATTCAAATGCTTGGAACTGACTATGCTAGGATCCTCAGAGCTGTATATGCATTTGCTCGGGTATATGGACTACATGCTAGTGTGCACTGATTCAATAGGTTTCATTATTTTCAAAAATCATTTCAAATATGAATGCACTCCCCCCCCCACCCCCCACCCCCATTTTATAATTTTATAATGTTACTTTCTTCAGATTCGAATACATCGCTCTTATGGAATTGCATCTGATTATTATGAAAGTTCAAATTTGGTGTTTGCAAATCATCTCGTAAAAGTGATCAATGCCACATTTGGATCTTGAGCTGCTGTAACGCTAAAAGATATTTCTTTGAGTGATTAGATATTTGTGTGTAGAAAACTTTGTAAGAATTTGACTTCAATCTTTTCGTCACCTTAGTAGGGCCTGGGCATGAATATGTGTGTAGGATTTATTGAAGATAACTATTGACTGTTCTAATCTTTTTCATATGGTTGATTATATCAGAAAAGTATTTCCCCAACAATGTCGAGTGATATTCTTCTTTTGCTCCCTCAGTGATATCCCTGATGATTAATTTGATTTGGATACATTTGTTAGGGATTTAAGGGCATGTTTGTACTGCCCATCTGGAAAAACAAGCTTTCGCCTTTGGGAAAACAAGATCTTCGCGTATCTTTCCACAAGTTAGAAGTGACAAGCACTTCTTCATGGTTCTTGATTAGCCCACTGCTGAGTGCGCTTGCTACGCTCGGCCAACCTACTCCTCTGTGTGGTAGGAGGCTGCCGTGTCAAAGTGGTGGCAGCCTGCCTCAATGGAATCAAAGAACATGGATGTCAGTTGTTACGATTTGTCCCTGTTCCATAGCCTATTGATGGAATCTTATGGCCTGAGTTCAACAATACGTTAGGGTAGGGACTTAAATCTCCACACTGAGTAGAGATTATACAGTGTGTTGACTTTTTTGTGCTAGCAAAGCAATTAATACTTTGAAGATTAATGAAAGAACCACATGCAGCAAAAGACGAGTTTTCATTGATACAAAGAAGAGACTATTGCTTTCTTGGCTTGCCGCGTAAGATAAAAGTTCCATCTTTATCATTTTGCCATTGGGCTCATATCAAATAAAAGGAATTTATTTAAAGCACAAGAAGACCAATAAACTGGTTGAGAGAGTAGACTTCATATTTCCCCGTCCCAAAGTTCTTCCACGGATTTGTACTGCCCCTTTGGAAAAACAAAGGGTTCGCCTCTAAAGCCTTTAGCCTGAGGGATTTGTCGCATCTGAGTATCTTCTTCATATGTAAGCTTCCAATCAAATATTTGAATGTTTTCTTTCATCCTCTCTTTGTTAAAACTCTTCACTATGAGAATTGCTCCTTGCTCATATATCCATCTCAAAGCTACCTTCATTTGTTAACAGCATGTTAGATACACATGATAGAATAATACTGGACAATGTGTAAAAAGGGCCTATTTGGATTAGCTTCTGCTTCTACTTTCTGCATAAGAGTTCTCTAAGAAGTTCACCTTGGACCAACTTTCCATAAAAGCTATTTTAATCAGATAAAATACTCATAGAAAATTATTTGAGTAGGCTAAAAAGCAACTTCTTAATCTCAAAAAGTCACATTTGACTTTTCAAAAGTAATGACAAACGGACACCTAAATATGAGTCTGGGCATATACTACAAGCTTCACTGATTCTATTACCTGTGCTACACTCTTGTCCTTAGCTGCTGCAATATCTTTAAGAACGGGGCTCTGCATCACTTGATGGCTGCCCCAAGCAGCACCATTTGCTCCCAATGGAGACCATGCACTAACAAGAATTTTTTTCTCTCTACAAAACTGAAGCAATTTTTGTTGCTGCCATGCTACATTCATTTCAACCTGAAATATATGATCGTTACTACCAAATCAAATTACTAACTATCGTAATCATGAAGTTCGAGACTCAAAAGTACTGTAAACTTGGAGGCAGAGCTACCTGATTAACCGCAGGAGGGATGGTGGCATTTTCTAAGAGTTTCCCGAGTTTTAAGCAACTGTAGTTGCTGACACCAATGGACTTGGCTAAACCTAATTGACAGCATTCTTCCATAGCCTTCCAAGTTTCCTTTATGTCAAAATGAAGCATGTCATCTTCACTGAGCTTGAATTGGTTGGCACTCTTCTTAATCATTATCGGCCAGTGTACGAGGTAAAGGTCCACATATTCTAACCCCAGTTTCCTACAACATATGTCAATTAAAACTTCATTAAAAAAAATAAATAATAAATAAATAAATAATCCTATATTAGGCTTACAAGAGACGTAGTTCTGGCCCTTTGTTATCTTGGTTCTAGAATTAGTTGTTTACAAAATTTTTAGAAACAAAATTTAATTTGAGTCCAACCTTATCAGTTTGTTACATGATAAAATACTGCAGCTAGTTAAGGAATAAGGCTGCTGCCCTGCTGTGTATTCCTTCTGGTTTCCACATAAAATTGCGATTACAAGCCGGGCTAACCACATATTTTGATGATATCTTTTTTTTAATTTCCCAACAATTTATACCAGAAGAACTACACAGCATCAGAATCAAAGCTATTTGGTAATTCGCCCTTTATTCTTGGAATTGATTGCAGCAATAGATCCACATATCCGTAAATTCTGCGAATGGTAATGAACCGGCCCTTCTCCTGCCTCATCGGAGTTTTCGGGGAGTAGGGCACGGGCCATGTTGTCCATCCCGCTTCCGGTTCCTCGACGGGGTATGAATTATAACAAACTTCTTCCCCGTAATTTTCTGATTCTTTCAAATGTAATTGCAAACCCTATACTGTATTACTGTTATTGGAAGGGATTCTTATTATCTGAAGTAAATATTTATTATGGGATTCAATTCATCGGTGAAAAAGGGAATGAAAATACAAGTACCTGAGCGTTTCTTTGAGGGCAGGCAAAACAAGATCATGGTGAGTATCATATATTGACAGTTTAGAAGTGACAAACACTTCGTTCCGGCTCTTGATTAAGCCGCTGTCCAGTGCCGCAGCCACTGCTCGGCCTACGCACTCCTCCGTGCCATAGGATGCTGCCGTGTCAAAGTGGCGGTAGCCGGCCTCGATGGCTTCGATGAATATGGATGTTAGTTGTTCAGGCGGTGGCAAAGGTAGTGCTGAGGTACCGAAGCCTATTGTCGGTATCATTTGGCCGGAATTTAGCATTACACGAGTAACTTTCGTTGTGGCCATAGTTGGCGGCTGACTGGTTACAACTCTAATCCTAGACATTAAATGATAATTGAGTCAACATATAAATCAAAATTATAATTTCAGTGGTCTGTATAACATTATTATAATTGGAGTGGATTAGCTTCAGGGTTAGTGTCGGTTGGATTTGGCATCAACATATTTGGGCTTTTGGGCCATTATGGTCAGTAGTTGTCTTTTTTAGTGTCAGAAACATAATGGGTCCATTTTATTATGCGAACAACGAAATTTCGGCCAAGTCTCAATTGAGTCATGAAACTCGATTACCCATTCAACTTCAAATTATGTTTGAATCTCATCAACGACCCTAAATTCATCGAAATTGTTATATTGACAGAATGTTACAACGAGATTTTCTACATATTGCGTGAAATTTTAGCCCCCGTTTGGCCTCCCTTTTGTAAAAAAATTAAGGGAAAATTGCAGCAGGAGTACTAAACTTTTTGTTTATTAGCAGACTTTGTCCAAATCTTTAGTTTCTGCCATCGTGAGTACCAAATCTTTGAAAAACTCGCACCTGAAGTTCAAATGGATGATTTCTGTTAATTTAATTGTTAGTTGACTCAAGAAATTGATTTTGATCAATTTTTAAGGTGGTAGAATGGTAACTTTGAAATAAAAACAAAACAAAACATAGATTAATAAAAAGAGAAAAGTTAGTCCACCCCCACCCCCAAAAAATAAAAAGTACTGTTCACACCCCCACCTTAAATTAACGCACCCCGTATTCATCATCCCTTCCAAATCAAAGAGATCTATCAAGTAGTATTTTAGCTCTCACAAAGCAAGTAAGGAAAGGCCCGTTTCGACCATCGGTGAATCACAATGGATGGGAGAACAATATTTTTGCTGCCAATTGCAATTGACGGAGCAGTCAACTCGCTACTTCAGGGATCAAATTACGAGGCGATTAAGTAGCAACTGGATCAATTAATTGTGTACCCACAGTCGTTTGAGTATGAATATGAGTTCTCGTAGGTGAATTTGTGGATTGAACAATGGGAAAAACATTAGTTGGATTGGATATGAGAGCCCTTATTCGCACGCATTGGATGTAAAATCCCAGAAAATACATTGATGTTTTGGCCCTATTTTGTTGAATCATCACCATCACATTGAGCATTTGTGGTGTACGTGTCTACTGGTGGTGGTCTGACATGGTGGGTGTGGCTGTAAGGTGTGTTTCCGCCAGCATAGATTACATTGACTTGGAAATTCTTGATGGGAATGAAATGGTTTCTTGATTGGTTTGACAATGGTTTGTGATTTGGGATGATGAAATTGATGATAAGATGAGTTTTGTAGTGGAAGCGGTAGGCGGCGAGATGCGACGGCAACGGTGGCGTTGGATTAATTTGGGATCGAGTATCAAGGAGATGGTGAACAGTGGGGGTGGGAAAGAGAAGATGAACAGTTATATACTTTTGATTTTTTGTTTTTTGTTTTTTGTTTTTAAGTTTAATTCAAAGTTACAATTTGAATCTTGAGCTGCTGTAACGCTAAAGATATTTCTTTGAGTGATTAGATATTTGCGTGTAGAAAACTTTGTAAGAATTTGACTTCAATCTTTTCGTCACCTTAGTAGGGCCTGGGCATGAATATCTGTGTAGGATTTATTGAAGATAACTATTGACTGTACATATCTTTTTCATATGGTTGATTATATCAGAAAAGTATTTCCCCAAGACCCCAACAATGTCAAGAGTGATATTATTCTTTTGCTCCCTCAGTGATATCCCTGATGATTAATTTGATTTGGATACATTTTTTAGGGATTTAAGGGCATATTTGTACTGCCCATCTGGAAAAACAAGCTTTCGCCTTTGGGAAAACAAGATCTTCGCGTATCTTTCCACAACAACTTACAAGTGACAAACACTTTTTCACCGTTCTTGATGAGCCCACTGTTGAGTGCTCTTGCTACCGCTCGGCAAACGTACTCCTCTATGTCGTAGGAGGCTGCCGTGTCAAAGTGGTGGCAGCCAACCTCAATGGAATCCAAGAAGATGGATGTCCGTTGTTGCGATTTGTCGCTGTTCCATAGCCTATTTATGGAATCTTATGGCCTGAGTTATACAATACGTTAGGGTAGGGACTTAGAAATCTCCACACCGAGTAGAGATTATACAGTGTGTTGACTTTTGTCATAGCAAAGCAATTAATACTTTAAAGATTAATGAAAGAACCACATTAAGAACCACATGCAGCAAAAGACGAGTTTTGTGCTTTTTTGGCTTGCCGCGTAAGATAAAGTTCCATCTTTATCATTTTGCCATTGGGCTCATATCAAATAAAAGGAATTTATTTAAAGCAAAAGAAGACCAATAAACTGGTTGAGAGAGTATGAAACTATTCTAATTTGGGATCCACTCTCCAACTCTCAAATCCAAATAAACCATTCTAGAGTCACCTATTACACCCAACTTTTTTTTTTTTTTTAATAATCCACCTTGTTGAGCAATCCAAATGGTGAAAGTAAAACCATACTTCATTTCATTCACAACACACTCAATAGACAACAAAGGATTTGCAAATTGCAGTTGCACAAGCACAAATCGACAAATCAATTTGAATTGTTGAATTGCAAAGCGACAAATCAACAAAGGGTTTGCACAAATCGACAAATCAACAAAGGGTTTGCAAATTGCAGTACTCAAGCAAGACTTCAAGCATTCAACACTTCAAGTTATTCAAATTTCAACTCACCAGATCGTCGCCTCGCGGCCGTGGCCTCGCCCCTGATTCTGAGAGTCTGACTTCGCACACCATGACACCGCCAAACCGTCCACTGCCTCCAGCTGCTAATTCTGTTGTTCTGCAGCTCTGCTTCAAATGGAAATTTCAGGGTTTGCTGTTTGAACTTTGCTGTCGCCTGACTCGCCTGTCGGTTTCAAATGGAGGAAATGAGAAATCAAATTTGGGTTGGGGGAATGAGAAATCAAATTCATACCATGGTCCATGGACTTTGTTGCCGGATTCAATATCCTTATTAATTTGGGCCTAACTTTTTTTTTAAAATGGCCCAATCTCTGGCAGATAAGCCCAAACGAATAGAAAAATTTTGGAAATTTGAAGTCTTCTTCTCCAGCATCACAGACTCCTGTTCGGCTTCTTCTGCAAATCTCCATCTGCTGCGCCTACGCGGCTGCCACCAACCCGGCAGCCACTGAAGCTCCCGGCGAATCCAGCACGGGCGGCCGCGGGGGCTCGCCAGGTGCTGGATCCGCCACTGTCCCCAACAATGTCAAGAGTGATATTATTCTTTTGCTCCCTCAGTGATATCCCTGATGATTAATTTGATTTGGATACATTTTTTAGGGATTTAAGGGCATATTTGTACTGCCCATCTGGAAAAACAAGCTTTCGCCTTTGGGAAAACAAGATCTTCGCGTATCTTTCCACAACAACTTACAAGTGACAAACACTTTTTCACCGTTCTTGATGAGCCCACTGTTGAGTGCTCTTGCTACCGCTCGGCAAACGTACTCCTCTATGTCGTAGGAGGCTGCCGTGTCAAAGTGGTGTTGGCACTCTTCTTAATCATTATCGGCCAGTGTACGAGGTAAAGGTCCACATATTCTAACCCCAGTTTCCTACAACATATGTCAATTAAAACTTCATTAAAAAAAATAAATAATAAATAAATAAATAATCCTATATTAGGCTTACAAGAGACGTAGTTCTGGCCCTTTGTTATCTTGGTTCTAGAATTAGTTGTTTACAAAATTTTTAGAAACAAAATTTAATTTGAGTCCAACCTTATCAGTTTGTTACATGATAAAATACTGCAGCTAGTTAAGGAATAAGGCTGCTGCCCTGCTGTGTATTCCTTCTGGTTTCCACATAAAATTGCGATTACAAGCCGGGCTAACCACATATTTTGATGATATCTTTTTTTTAATTTCCCAACAATTTATACCAGAAGAACTACACAGCATCAGAATCAAAGCTATTTGGTAATTCGCCCTTTATTCTTGGAATTGATTGCAGCAATAGATCCACATATCCGTAAATTCTGCGGATGGTAACGGACCGGCCCTTCTCCTGCCTCATCGGAGTTTTCGGGAAGTAAGGCGCGGACCATGTAGTCCATCCCACTTCCGGTTCCTCCACGGGGCATGAATTGTAACAAACTTCTTCCCTGTAATTTTCTGATTCTTTCAAATGTAATTGCAAACCCTATATTGTATAACTGTTATTGTAAGGGATTCTTATTATCTGAAGTTAATATTTATTATGGGATTCAATTCATTGGTGAAAAAAGGAATGAAAATACGAGTACCTGAGCGTTTCTTTGAGGGCAGGCAAAACAAGATCATGGTGAGTATCATATATTGACAATTTAGAAGTGACAAACACTTCGTTCCGGCTCTTGATTAGGCCACGGTCCAGTGCCGCAGCCACTGCTCGGCCTACGCACTCCTCCGTGCCATAGGAGGCTGCCGTGTCAAAGTGGCGATAGCCGGCCTCGATGGCTTCGATAAATATGGATGTTAGTTGTTCAGGCGGTGGCATAGGTAGTGCTCCGGTACCGAAGCCTATTGTCGGTATCAGTTGGCCGGAATTTAGCATTACATGAGTAACTTTCGTTGTGGCCATAGTTGGAGCCTGACAGGTTACAACTCCAACCCTAGACATTAAATGATAGTTGAGTAAACATATAAATCAAAATTATAATTTCAGTGGACTGTATAACATTATTATAATTGGAGTGGATTAGTTTTAGGGTTAGTGTCGATTGGAATTGGCATCAACATATTTGGTTTTTTAGGCCATTAGAAGACAGGAAGGACAGTGGTTGTCTTTTTAGTGTCAGAAACATAATGGGTCCATTTTCTTATGCGAACACCGATATTTCGGCCAAGTCTCAATTGAGTCACGGAACTCGATTAGGTCATTCAATTTCAAATTATGTTTGAATCTCATCAACGATCCTAAATTCATCGAAATTGTTATCTCGATAGAATGTTACAACGAGATTTTCTGCATGCTGCATGGAGTTTTTAATTTCTCACAATGCAATTGCTTTTTTTTTTAAATAAATAAATAAAATTGCCTCTTTTAATCTAAAAAAAATTGTCATAACATTCCTTAGACCATTTTCGATTCTAGGGTGCCACATCACGATGACATGAAAAATCATGTATGATTTGACTTTCCCTGAGCAATTTTTGTTATTTTTGGGGGAATATAGGTGACTAAATATGAAAATGGTGAAATTTGGAATTGAATTGAAGTTTAGGGAACTAAATTAAGCCAATTAAAGTTTAGTGATCCAATTGCAATTTGGCTATAAGTTCAATGACCGCACATGAAAATTATCGAAAAACAATTGACTAGAAGAAGAGAATAATATGTTTTTATATAACTTACAGCCATGAAAACCGTTCTAGTAAAGTTGTTATATGAATTTGAAATTTTTAGTATAAAAAATTGTTTGGTTTTCATACACAATAAATCCTGGACTATGATATTAATCTAGGAATATACATATCATAGGTCTTGGCTGATGATTAAATAAGTACCAACAATCAAGTTTAAAGACTCTACTCGACCCATTCATATTATCTCTTGGATGACTTTGAATCTTGATTCATTTAATCTTGTTATTGGTCCAACTAAAAGCCTAATCTAGCCTATATATATAGCCCCCTTTCTTGCCCTAGCTGTTGATGATTTGTATATGTGAAGAGGAGAAAAAATTAGCTGCCATAGAAGAGAGAAATCGGTTGCCTTTGTGTCCAAAAAACTAGTGATTAACTTCGTGTTTGTGGTCTCTTCCTTACCTTCTTTGTGATGTTTTCTTGGTTACAAATCATGACCACTGTCTTGTTCTTTGGGTGAGATTGAGAAGTAATCGAGATGAATATATAGATTATGGATTGGAGCCGGTTGAATTGATTATTTGGTAAAGAAATGTAACATTGTACTGAGCCCCCAAAACACTGTTTTGATTATCCTTGGAGCAAGCTTCCGTGACAATTGGTATCAGAGCTTCAAGGTGGTGGATTTGGCTTGTGAAACATACAAAAAAAACATCCAGGAAACTGACAGAAACGAAGCAAAAAACTCAGATCGTAATCTGTCCAAAACTGCCCAAAAATTGAGATTATTTTCACGATTTTCGGCAAATCCAAAAGGCGTTTGGTGAAACAGAGACCATCGACGTGACGTGCAGGTAGAGGCGCACTATGGTTACTGGTCGTGAGATTGATTGCTGGCGTGTGTGGCAGCTTGTGAAGCCCACGCGCAAAGAGGGTTAAAGGCGCATGAGGGGCGTAGGGCCGAATCTCGAAGAGGTATCTTCAGGCAGTTTATTCCTAGCATCATTTCTGACATTTTAGTGTTGTTAGTTTACTGTTTCAGGTTATAGAGCGTAATATGGATGACTCTATTCTTCGCACGATCGAAATTTGATTGTGGTGATTGATTCATGCGATTGCTGGAGGCTTGAGGACAAATAGTGGTGGTCCTAACGTGATAGATTCGCATCTCTCGTAATTTATAGACTCAGATTGGTCCGTTTTAGTATATTGGTTTATCTCAATTCAAATTTCAACATTAGCGCGTCATCATGTGGGATGGCATTAGGATTGTGGTTACTGTGTGGGTAACATTGTTTATGCTAAAAGTTTAGGAATTATTTGCTCTATATAAAGTGTTAATTTAGCTGCAAGTTGGTAATTGCTTTTGTGCTTTAGTTACCATCTAGTCACTATGTGAGACTACATTGCATGAGAAGTTGAATTTTTTTTATTATTTTTTTTATTTTTTTATTTTTTTTGTTGACATACCTTTGAGTTGCATTGAATATTCTGTTAGAACATCTAGACTTGACAAGTTTAAAAATTTCCTTGATTTAAAATTACGAATCTTATGAAACCTTGAGAATTTAGAAATGTGTATATTGCGACTTTAGGATTATTTTGTGTAACCTATTTGTGCACTTTGGTTTTTTTCTGCAAAACGTCTTCACATTTCGAAGTTCAAATTTTCAATTGAAAATGAGATTTTTCAATTTGGCAACAAAAAATGAATGCCCCAGTTTCCTACAACATATGTCAATTAAAACTTCATTAAAAAAAATAAATAATAAATAAATAAATAATCCTATATTAGGCTTACAAGAGACGTAGTTCTGGCCCTTTGTTATCTTGGTTCTAGAATTAGTTGTTTACAAAATTTTTAGAAACAAAATTTAATTTGAGTCCAACCTTATCAGTTTGTTACATGATAAAATACTGCAGCTAGTTAAGGAATAAGGCTGCTGCCCTGCTGTGTATTCCTTCTGGTTTCCACATAAAATTGCGATTACAAGCCGGGCTAACCACATATTTTGATGATATCTTTTTTTTAATTTCCCAACAATTTATACCAGAAGAACTACACAGCATCAGAATCAAAGCTATTTGGTAATTCGCCCTTTATTCTTGGAATTGATTGCAGCAATAGATCCACATATCCGTAAATTCTGCGGATGGTAACGGACCGGCCCTTCTCCTGCCTCATCGGAGTTTTCGGGAAGTAAGGCGCGGACCATGTAGTCCATCCCACTTCCGGTTCCTCCACGGGGCATGAATTGTAACAAACTTCTTCCCTGTAATTTTCTGATTCTTTCAAATGTAATTGCAAACCCTATATTGTATAACTGTTATTGTAAGGGATTCTTATTATCTGAAGTTAATATTTATTATGGGATTCAATTCATTGGTGAAAAAAGGAATGAAAATACGAGTACCTGAGCGTTTCTTTGAGGGCAGGCAAAACAAGATCATGGTGAGTATCATATATTGACAATTTAGAAGTGACAAACACTTCGTTCCGGCTCTTGATTAGGCCACGGTCCAGTGCCGCAGCCACTGCTCGGCCTACGCACTCCTCCGTGCCATAGGAGGCTGCCGTGTCAAAGTGGCGATAGCCGGCCTCGATGGCTTCGATAAATATGGATGTTAGTTGTTCAGGCGGTGGCATAGGTAGTGCTCCGGTACCGAAGCCTATTGTCGGTATCAGTTGGCCGGAATTTAGCATTACATGAGTAACTTTCGTTGTGGCCATAGTTGGAGCCTGACAGGTTACAACTCCAACCCTAGACATTAAATGATAGTTGAGTAAACATATAAATCAAAATTATAATTTCAGTGGACTGTATAACATTATTATAATTGGAGTGGATTAGTTTTAGGGTTAGTGTCGATTGGAATTGGCATCAACATATTTGGTTTTTTAGGCCATTAGAAGACAGGAAGGACAGTGGTTGTCTTTTTAGTGTCAGAAACATAATGGGTCCATTTTCTTATGCGAACACCGATATTTCGGCCAAGTCTCAATTGAGTCACGGAACTCGATTAGGTCATTCAATTTCAAATTATGTTTGAATCTCATCAACGATCCTAAATTCATCGAAATTGTTATCTCGATAGAATGTTACAACGAGATTTTCTGCATGCTGCATGGAGTTTTTAATTTCTCACAATGCAATTGCTTTTTTTTTTTAAATAAATAAATAAAATTGCCTCTTTTAATCTAAAAAAAATTGTCATAACATTCCTTAGACCATTTTCGATTCTAGGGTGCCACATCACGATGACATGAAAAATCATGTATGATTTGACTTTCCCTGAGCAATTTTTGTTATTTTTGGGGGAATATAGGTGACTAAATATGAAAATGGTGAAATTTGGAATTGAATTGAAGTTTAGGGAACTAAATTAAGCCAATTAAAGTTTAGTGATCCAATTGCAATTTGGCTATAAGTTCAATGACCGCACATGAAAATTATCGAAAAACAATTGACTAGAAGAAGAGAATAATATGTTTTTATATAACTTACAGCCATGAAAACCGTTCTAGTAAAGTTGTTATATGAATTTGAAATTTTTAGTATAAAAAATTGTTTGGTTTTCATACACAATAAATCCTGGACTATGATATTAATCTAGGAATATACATATCATAGGTCTTGGCTGATGATTAAATAAGTACCAACAATCAAGTTTAAAGACTCTACTCGACCCATTCATATTATCTCTTGGATGACTTTGAATCTTGATTCATTTAACCTTGTTATTGGTCCAACTAAAAGCCTAATCTAGCCTATATATATAGCCCCCTTTCTTGCCCTAGCTGTTGATGATTTGTATGTGTGAAGAGGAGAAAAAATTAGCTGCCATAGAAGAGAGAAATCGGTTGCCTTTGTGTCCAAAAAACTAGTGATTAACTTCGTGTTTGTGGTCTCTTCCTTACCTTCTTTGTGATGTTTTCTTGGTTACAAATCATGACCACTGTCTTGTTCTTTGGGTGAGATTGAGAAGTAATCGAGATGAATATATAGATTATGGATTGGAGCCGGTTGAATTGATTATTTGGTAAAGAAATGTAACATTGTACTGAGCCCCCAAAACACTGTTTTGATTATCCTTGGAGCAAGCTTCCGTGACAATTGGTATCAGAGCTTCAAGGTGGTGGATTTGGCTTGTGAAACATACAAAAAACATCCAGGAAACTGACAGAAACGAAGCAAAAAACTCAGATCGTAATCTGTCCAAAACTGCCCAAAAATTGAGACTTTTTTCACGATTTTCGGCAAATCCAAAAGGCGTTTGGTGAAACAGAGACCATCGACGTGACGTGCAGGTAGAGGCGCACTATGGTAACTGGTCGTGAGATTGATTGCTGGCGTGTGTGGCAGCTTGTGAAGCCCACGCGCAAAGAGGGTTAAAGGCGCATGAGGGGCGTAGGGCCGAATCTCGAAGAGGTATCTTCAGGCAGTTTATTCCTAGCGTCATTTCTGACATTTTAGTGTTGTTAGTTTACTGTTTCAGGTTATAGAGCGTAATATGGATGACTCTATTCTTCGCACGATCGAAATTTGATTGTGGTGATTGATTCATGCGATTGCTGGAGGCTTGAGGACAAATAGTGGTGGTCCTAACGTGATAGATTCGCATCTCTCGTAATTTATAGACTCAGATTGGTCCGTTTTAGTATATTGGTTTATCTCAATTCAAATTTCAACATTAGCGCGTCATCATGTGGGATGGCATTAGGATTGTGGTTACTGTGTGGGTAACATTGTTTATGCTAAAAGTTTAGGAATTATTTGCTCTATATAAAGTGTTAATTTAGCTGCAAGTTGGTAATTGCTTTTGTGCTTTAGTTACCATCTAGTCACTATGTGAGACTACATTGCATGAGAAGTTGAATTTTTTTTATTATTATTTTTATTTTTTTATTTTTTTTGTTGACATACCTTTGAGTTGCATTGAATATTCTGTTAGAACATCTAGACTTGACAAGTTTAAAAATTTCCTTGATTTAAAATTACGAATCTTATGAAACCTTGAGAATTTAGAAATGTGTATATTGCGACTTTAGGATTATTTTGTGTAACCTATTTGTGCACTTTGGTTTTTTTCTGCAAAACGTCTTCACATTTCGAAGTTCAAATTTTCAATTGAAAATGAGATTTTTCAATTTGGCAACAAAAAATGAATGTGATTTTGGTTCAACAAAAGGTTTTAGAAGTCTTAGATGGTAAATTTTCTGCAAATTTGACAGAAACACAAAAAGAAGAATATGATGAATTTACTTACACTTCAATTACTTTATACCTATCTGACTCTGTATTAAGAAACGTTGAAAAACTTAACTCAACAGAAAAACTTTGGCAAAAGTTGGAGGAATTATATTTGCTTAAGTCTACTTCTAATGAATTGTACTTGCTTGAACATTTTTTCATTTTTAAAATGGATCTTTCAAGGGATTTTGATGACAATTTAGGTGTTTTTAACAAATTTGTTCAAGATATTGTTAATAGGCCATTATTTTTCTTTATTCAATGTCTGATTCATATAGAGAGGTTAATAATGTAAATAAATATGGTAGGAACACCTTAACACCTGAAATTGTCATAGACTTTCTTAAGAGTAAGGGAATAAAGATTAAAGTTAAAAAAGAAGATAAGAGGAGTGATGACTTATATATGATGAGGAGTAAAATGAAATTTAAGTAAATGAATTTGGATAGAACTCAAGATTGTAGTAATTCAAGTAGTGACTCGAGTGATTAGAGTGGTAAAAAGAAGGGTAAGGGACAAGACAAGTCTAGTGATAGATGATATTATAGTTGTGGTAAGTTTGGATGCTTTATTAGGGATTGTTCTAAGAAGAAGGATAAGCAAAAGGGTAAGACGAGAGGTAAGAAGAATTTGGCTATGGGGTCGAGTGATGACCTTGGTAAGGTTTATTGAGAGTAAACCTAATTATTGTATGTGCATATGTGTGTAATCCATTCTGTATGTGTGTAATTGCTTAATTTTGTTCCATAATTGTATATTGCATTTCAATGTATTTGATATGCGCATTGGCATGAATTGGAGTGATCTTATTATTTGGGTAATTGTTTGTATGCATAGTGGGTTGGGATGCATTGGCAGTGTGCTGTATGCCTTTTGGTAAGATGGAGTATAGATGCCTAAGGGTACATTGTGGTTTATACCGGGGACGTGGAGTGTAATATTTGGATCAAGTGTAGGGGGTGATTAAATGTTGGAATCCTTTATCTGTAAAGAGACCCTGATCAGGTGGAGTATGAATCTATCTTACTGTACCATGCCCGTGGAGATTGCTTTAGACCATAGAGGGCTTTCTTCAATCTATAGACCTTATCTTCCTTCCTGAAATGACAAAACCTTCTGGTTGAGAGACATAAACTTCTTCCTCCAATTCTCCATTTAAAAATGCAGACTTCACATCAAATTGAAAAACAGGCCATCTTAATTGTGCTGCCAAGGCTAAAATGGTTCTCACTATTTCAAATCGAGCAATAGGCGAAAATGTGTCGTCGTAGTCAATACCTTGTTGTTGGGAATACCCCTTTGCCACGAGCCGAGCCTTGTGCTTTTCTATTTTTCCGTTTGAATGGTATTTTGTTCTATAAACCCATTTTACTCCAATAGCCTTTTTACCTACAGGTAGGTCCACAAATTCCATGTCTCATTTTTCTTAATTGCCTCAAGCTCTTCTTTCTTTGCGCTACACCATTCTTCTTTATTTATTGCTTCTTTAAAGATGGTAGGATCTGAAAGGAACAAAGCTTGAGTTGTCTCATAAATTTCCCTAATTGACCTGAATTTCCTTAGAGGAAACTCAACTGAAGAAGCTTGTGTGGAAGGTGAGCTGCTATTACTTGAAGGGCTGGATGTTGTTGAATTTGAGAAGACTCTGCTTGTTGAACTCGGAGGGGTTGGTTCCATTTCTCTAGTTGGTGAGGGTTCACTTGTTGGCACTTTGATTTGAATAACTTCAATATTCTCATCGGCAACTTCATCTTTTTCATGCCAATTCCAACTTGCTTCTTCATCAAATACAACATTCCTGTTGATAATTAATTTGCCACTAACAGGATTATATATCCTATATGCTTTAGATTGAGAACAATAAACCACAAAAATACATTTTGCAAATTTTTCATCGAGTTTACTATGATTATGTGAATCTTTCAAAGCATAGGCAATACAACCAAAAATTTTCAAGTGACTTACCCAAGGTCTTGTACCATTCCAAGCGTCATATGGATTTTGATTCAAAACAGCTTTTTTTGGAGATAAATTCAACAAGTAGACTACAGTAGCAATAGCCTCTGCCCAAAATTGGTCTGGCATCCCCTTCGCCTTTAGCAAGCTTCTTGCCATCTCAACAACCGTACGTTTCTTCCTTTCAGCCACTCCGTTTTACTCCGGATTATATGGTGCAGTCAATTCCCTGCGTAAGCCATGTTTATCACAAAATTGACTGAATTCACGAGAAACAAACTCACCACCTCTATCTGTACGAAGTGCCTTTATACTTCTTCCATTTTGCTTTTCAACAAATGCTTTGAACTTTTTGAAAGCTTCAAATGCTTCTGATTTATTTTGCAGAAAGTAGACCCAGCTCATTCGGCTATAATCATCTGTAAAAAACAAGAAATATCGGCTGCCACCAAAAGACTCTGTTTTCATGGGTCCACACAAGTCAGCATGTATGAGATTAAGGCAATCAATTGCTCTTCTAGACCTTCCTACAGGAAATGATTTTTTACACTGTTTTCCATATATACACCATTCACACAAATCCAAAGATTCAATTTTAGGCAGCCCAAATACCATTTCCTTTTGACTCAATAACTTCATACCTTTAACATTCAAATGCCCATACCGTAGGTGCCATAGTTTAGACTCACTATTTTCTTTAATAACAAGAGCATGG